AGGGTAGCCTTTGCTATACAAGACGAATGAGCAAGTTCACTGCTATTGATGGAGAAAATTTTCCTCAGCACAGTTTTTCCGGTCTTGTGGGGAACAGAAGGATTTCTCTCAAGCTGTCTCCCCCCAAAATATGTCTTGAGAATGACTGTACACAAGGCGGTCAGCGAAAGTAGGACAGAGGTTACTCTCCCTAACCTTAGCCATCAAGAGTGGATTGGGAGCCATTCTCACCGAGAGGTATCAGCTGTCTAGATCAAGCAGACACCACTGTTTATCCCACAACAAATAGGGCCCATTCCTTTCTGTTATTGTTCCCTTGAAGCAGTGCCCATAGGCAAGCCCGGGACCGCTCTAAGATGACTAAGCTTAGGTTACCATCTTGCCACACATGCCCCCCTATCCCCGCCTCTTACTATTGCACGTTCACCCCTAGGTCATCCCCCTCCTATTGCTTGTATTGCCTATGTTACAACCCCTCTCTATGACGTAGGTTGTTGTCTGCTATCAGGGGGCTTGCATGCCTCCCAGGATAATACTGTAATTGTCTGTTTTACTGTATGAGACACCAGAGTGATCAAACTTGTTCAAGGATGAATTGTACTGCCCTTCTCTGTGACGCATAATGCTGTGATGTATCCCCCTAAAGTAAAATGATGCGTGGTGAGCAATAAATAAGGAGACTCCCTGGTTCTGGGGAGGGTGGCTGAGGAGGACAAGGCAGCTGCTTCTACTCTGACGGCTAAGCCCCCTCCACGAGGACCATCAATTGGGGCTGAGGTGAGCAATGCTACCATGAATTGCATCTGACTCCATTACTTGACTCCATCTTTTAACTCTCATGCTCTCTATGACTTTACTATAATCTTTATCACTGTACAATTGCGCCTACCGAACCTGTGATATTCTGTGGGGTTCTCTCTTCCCTTCAACCCCACACGGTCTTTTCTCAATAACGTAGTGCTTAATTTTTGAAAAACCGTCTTCACAAGAATCCACAGAGATATACTTGTGGTATGCAAATTTATTTTGGAATCCCAAAAACTAGTCCCAAAGGATAGCGTCACAAGCTGCTGTTTTGACTACAATTTTTTTGAAGCACCCTACCAAGACTCAGACAGGTGTGTGACTGAGAACTTATCAGTAGCCATCCACTGATCAGCGTCACGTTTGAACATATTTTATTTTTACTAAATCCATGCATATATGAAATGGACCCTAGCAGCAATAATTTTTTACTTCTCCTTAATGAACGACAAGATTTTGTTGTGTACAAAAAGAATTGTAATGGTTTTATTTTATAATACTAAATTTCATCAAAATAAAAAATGTTCTTAGCAATTATTTAAAGTATTAATGAATTTGGATCTCAACCTTCATATGTATTCAGTACATAAATCTTCACAGTGTAGAGTTAAATGAAAAAAAGTTTGAAGACGACAATTCTGTAAGAAAGCAGCATTAAATTATGGGTGCGGAGGGACAAACTATGTAGGACAATTGATTAAGCAATTAAAATATTTAATCCAGAGTAAGTGATAATGTGTATATCAGCTCAAAACTGAATTCTTTTTCACCTTTAAGAAGCCTAACCCAAATTCTGTAAAACACGTGTAAGCTACAATATCTCAATGTTTAATTTTGTTCATTTGCTAAATGAGGATGACCTTTGGGCTGGAGTTATATGAAGGTGAACATTACTGGATAGGTCCAGTAACTAATCAAAATCATTTTAGACTCTATTTTTGAAAATGGTCCATTAAAATCAAATGCCTTCACCGATAATTTATCAATTACTTTAACTCTTCTTAGTTTCCTTATGGCCCTCCATTAATTTAATTTTCAAATTTTTTCTTTGTGAATAGCAATATATCCTTTTCATTACACATTTAACTGGCAGTATATATGGTTCCATTACTTGTCAGGATTGAGAAGCAACATCCTACTGTAGATTCCTCAACATGCATGAAATGCTATTATCTATTGCCTGTGCACGAATGCTCAGTAAGTAGACTGACAGTCAAAATGACCTACCTCCCCCCATGCCTTGTTTGTCCAAGAAGGCCTGGTGGCACAATGGCTAAGGGCTGAGTGGCTAACTGAAGGATCAATGGTTTGAACACCCCAGCTACTCTGTAGGAGAAAAGACCTGGAGATCTGCTTCTTTAATGAATATAGCCTAGGAAAGTCTCTGTCCAAAGGGTCACTAGGAATCAGAACTTACTTTACAGTACACAATTACTTGTCCAGTTTGCTAGTTAAATTTATATAAGAGAAATACACATAACACACTTCTGGATGTTTCCGAAAGACATAATGAAATAAGGATTAATGTTACATATTTTATATAATTAGAAATCTTTGTATTATGAAGTACAGTAGAAAAGAGATTGAGACCGTGATAGGCTATGTAGCAAAGAGATGATTATAGTCTCAACCTAGTCATAAGCACTTTCAATTGAGGACACTTGAGGATTTAGGCGCAATCAGTAAAAACTGGTGATTTGGTGGATGTGATAGTTAAAGGTTAAAGATAAAGAAAAATTTTGCTTGGGCACAATTGAAGAGAATGAGATAGATTTTGAATGTATTACTAGATTGAAAGGGCGTAACAGGTAAATAGATGTTTGAAATAGAGAAACAAGAAGATGGAATAATTAATATTTAGAGAAGATTCAGAAGAAGTATAACATTTCTTCCAAAGGCAGGAGGAAGCTGAAAGAAGAAATTAAAATGTACTAAGTTTGTAAGTAAAGGGGTAAGAAGGTGATGCTGTTTATGCCAGATGGCCTCCACACTGCAAAGTAACAGGTGAGGTCCGCTGAGAAAATGAGCATATTTCACTCAAGGAATGAGAGGTGTCTTGGGAAGTAGGAGGAAGGAGGACATATACTATACATATTGGAGTGGGTTGTTCTCTGGACTAAAGGAGGTGAGAAAGCACTCTACAAAGAGTCTGAGAGTGCTAAAATAAGAAATGATGACTACAATTAGCCAGGAGAAAAGAGACTCAAAGTCTGAAGAGAAAGCTTCAGCCTTTCTCTTTGACAGCCCTGCATTATGACTAAAGAGATTTGAGTTAACAGAAGAAGTGAGCCAAAGATCCTTAGGAGGATGCACATGCGCAGGTAATAGAGGTTTGCATGTATTTCCATGTGTTCAAGTGTGCCTGCTCCTCCTTTACTTTTAAGTCATTAAAAATGGTTTTAAGAGTTAGGTGTATAACCTATAAGGGGGTAGCCGTCCAAAAAAACCCTGGAATTTTTTTCAAAGCTATGTATTTACATTTTGTTTTTAACAAAATAACATTGTCACCTTCAAAGTACTCTTCATTACACTTACTACCATTTGTCAAATATGTGATTCTGTTCCTGGAAACCTTTTTCAAATTCATCTGTTTGGATGGCTGACAGCACCTCCCTCGTTTGTTTTGAATCACCTCTTCTACGTCATCAAATTGCTGTCCTTTCATGTCCTTCTTCATTTGCGGAAACAAAAAGAAGCCACACGGTACGAGGTCAGGTGAGTAAGGTGCATGGGGCAAGAGAGACATGCTGTGTTCTGCAAAAAACTGGCATACTGGGAGGCTGCGTGAGCAGGTGCACTGTCATAGTGGCAAAACCAATCATCTGTCTGCCACAAAACAGACCTTTTTGTCACACACTGTTATGCAATCTTTTCAGAATCTCTAAATAGAAATCTTGATCAATCTGACCTGGTGGAACGAACTCCAAATGCACTATCCACCTCACATCAAAAAACCAAATGGGCATTTTGATCTTTGGTTTCACTTGATGTGAATTTTTTGGGCAGGGTGATGATGGATCCTTTCACTAGCTTGATTGATGTTTGCTTTTGGGGCTGTAAAAATAGCACCATGTCTCCTCACCAATAATAGCTTTGGGAAAAAAGTCTGGGTTGCTTCAGAGCTGTTATTTCAAAGCATGGCCTGTTTCCACTACACGTTCTTTGTCCTGGTCAGTCATTTCACAGTGACCCTTCACATTCCCAAATCGTCCATTAAATTCGCTGAACCAAGCTCCAAGATAGTCCAGATAACTTCACCATCTCTTCAATGGTCGTCGGTTTTCGAGCACAAGTGCACGCGTTTTGTTGACATCGACCATCTAGGAAGTTGATAGCCGTCCCAAACGAGGTTTGTCATCAATCGACATTTCACCTTTATTGAAAGGAGAAAACCACTTGTACACTTGAGTTTTCCCATAGGGTTGTCCTTGCAAGCTGTGTTCAACATCACAATAGTTTCTGCAGCATTTTCTGAGCATGAAATAAAACTTCACGGCCATACACTGTTCTCTTAAATCGGACATCACAAAAACTGAAACAAACTGCTCTTAAGAAAAAATTCACTGTGACCAGAGAAAACTTTCTCCAGCAAAGTCAAAATAGGGTGCACTAACTTAAAGCGAGCTGCTCGATGCTTGCTTAATGGGGAAAAATGCCTATTATGAAAGTTCCACCCATCAGAGCCTTTTCCCTTTTTTTGGGGGGGGGGTATCCCCACCTATGCTCTAATGACTACCTGGGAGAATTATAAGGCAATCAATCTCTGATTATCCTATTCCTGGTAGGTCAATCTGCCATGACCAAAATCACATATAATGCCCACTAGATATTTCTAATTGCACTTATAATTAGGATAGTCCCTCATACTCTTCCTCAAATCATTCTCAACATGATTTTTCAATTATACTATTCTTCTGTGTTCATCTTAATTGTGCTTCTACAGTACGCAAATATTAAAGATATTAGAATACATACCCTATAATGCATCACAGTTATATATATATATATATATATTTAGCATCAGTTTAATATATTTATAGATATTTAGTATCAAATTTACACACCAATAACCATATTAAAAAGATTATGGGAATATATAATCTCTATATATTTAGTATCAGTTTAATATATATATATTTAGTATCAAATTTACACACCAATAACCATATTTAAAAAGATTATGTGAAGACACGAACCTGGGACAGATGCTACATGGGTCTGGGTTTGAACTTGTTCTACAGCTTGTGGCCTAATATCAGACAAAACTTGATGGCTGGAACTTGGATGTTCGACGAGTTTCACTGCAGCTAGGGCATCAGGACCGAACATCTGGATATCCATAGAAACCAGACACACTAACATGTCTAAAATAAGCAAAAAGCCAATAGTTACCTGTTAATATTATTATAAAACAATGCCAAATTCATTGTGTTGTACATAACAGTGGTTCTCAACTGCTAGTCCATAAATCATGCGCATCGGAATTAAATGTGGATTTAAAAAATAGATTTTTACCATCAATCTTTAAAAACTGATTTAGCAAATCTGCAGTGGGGACTAGGCATTGGTATATGAATATATATTTAAGTTTCCCAAGTGATTCTGATGTGTAGTCAGATTTAAGAATGACGTTGTATATTGCAAATGACATTTTAATTTTTCAATAATATTTTTCAAGTTAAATCTTATTAATGCTGACTAGTTTTACAACTATGAAAAAAATCATCTTAGTCAACTGAGTAACATGTTGACATGATATGTGTAACAGCTTTAGAACTGATGACCTACTCCAGAATGAAGTTCACGGATTTTAAACACACTAGCACTATGAGCAACTTTCGAGATGAGCAGGAAGGAAGCCTGTTTCACTCAGCTCCAGGTGCTTAGCAGCAGATGATCATCTGACACAGTCAGACCTGCTTCCCAGAAAGGCAGACATAGCAAGTTTGTCAAATTTAAATCTGATATACAGTAAACTAAAAATAAAGAGAAGGAATAGGGATTACCCAGTCAAACAATGCTCTATATGATAGTCTCTCTATACATGATAAACTAATGTAGACTAGTTAATAAAGACTCCTCAAATAAGTGGGAAACTCCAAATAACTGTGATTTAAAAAATATCACCATATTAAATACCTTCACCCAATGAAGCAAATAATTTAAATATTTTAATCTTACCTATGCTCTTTTCGACTTTTGCAATTTTTGTGCAAGCAACATCTCCCATTTCTGTGAGCATATATAGCACCTCGAGTGTTGAGATCACGAGCAGCACGTCAGGTAAAGTGAGATGACAGATGATCTCTCTGTATGAGTCTTGATCCACATATTCACAAATCAAAACGCCATTATCTTCCGCTTTGCAAAGATTTCCCAAAATTTCCATTCCTGAAAAGCACATGCACACACATTGCTTTCTAATAAATGATTAAAAGTTTGGACACTGTAGACAATGAGAAGCTAACTGAATACTCACCTCTCATCTTTAAAAATCTATCCCTTGACATCAGGCATTTCGTAACAGTATGGAACATCAGATGAGTAGTTTTGAAATCAACAGGGTCCAATAAAAGCTGGGGAAAAAGAAAGGCACCATTGTTGAGATAGGTTTTCTTCTAGTGCTGTACATTCCAAATTTAATGAAAGTGAACATAAAAAATGTACAACTTAAGAAAAATGTAGTTATGTGAACAGTCATTACTGCATTTTAAAGAATCATTTAAAATGCTTGGTAACTTTTACAACAGTATTGATAATTCCAATCCACTATTTAGAAAAAAAACAACTTTTTCTAAATATTTACTGTACTTACAATATGTGAAAATACATAACAAAATGGCAACTGTAATAATGCCACAGCATAAAATTTTTAATTATCTTTCCTATCACAAAAGTTACTTCAAGAAACTGAGTCACATGCTTACCTCAGCTGCAATATTTCCTAATGTATCAAGGCCCAACTGTCTTAGAGAAATAAAATGACTATGTGCAGAAAGTAATAGGAAACGAAGACAAGTTCGATTAGCTGCCAAGAGCTTAACATTGCCCTCTTCAAATGAAAGATTTCGCAGAATCACAGCAATCTGAAGTACCCGCTGTCCTTCAATATCGTTAATGCCCAGCTTTCGAGGTGGATGAAATAAAGATTCCCAAATCCATTCTCCTGATGTACCTTCTGCATATAAAAAAGGTTTTACACAATTTAGAATTTGTTACTAATATCGACATTCTAAAATTATTTAGTAATTTTGCACTCAGTGACTTACCATGAGACTTATTTCTATCGGAAATGAGGTCACGTACTTCATTATCATCAACAATGTCTTTCCAAAACTGTAATGATAAAATTATACTGAATTATGACTTTTGAAATAATTATATTATTACGTTAAAAGTGATCACACCTAAAAGTATATCTCTGCTTAATATATACATATATATTTTACTTCATGTGGGTCTCATTACATTCCAGGGATTTTTTACATAAATGTTCTAATTTTCTCTAGATTGTAAGTTTTTTTGTTGTTAATCATTTTATTGGGGGCTCGTACAACTCTTATCACAATCCATACATCCATCCATTGTGTCAAGCACGTTTATATGTTTGCTGCTATCATCATTCTCAAAACATTTTCTTTCTGCTTGAGCCCTTGGTATCAGCTCCTCATATTTTTACCCTCCCTCTCTGCTCCCCGCTCCCTCATGAACCCTTGATAATTTACAAATTATTATTATTTTGTCATATCTTACACTGTCTGACGTCTCTCTTCACCCACTCTTCTGTTGTCCATCCCCCAGGAAGGAGGTTATATGTAATCCTTGTATAGATTGTAATACTTATATATGAAAGGTGTCTTTTTAGGTTAGGGGTTCTAAATCTGGACTCTTAGAATAATTCTTAAGAGTTTGTGAAAGAAATTAGAGCATCTACCTGTGAAAATGTCTAGAAGCTGTTTTTTAATGCCTTTAGGCTCATTAACCTTAGCATTTCCTTCAACTCTAAATATTAGGCTGCAAACAACAGCAATATTAGCATTATCTAAGGCATGCCCACCAATAAGAATCACAGATAGTTTCAGACCGACCACTTTGCAGTACAAATAGCTAGAAATGGTGTTTATGCTCATCAGTAGTTAAAAAATTATGAGTCATGACAAAACTGTACATGAACACAACAGTATTACTGCTTACAGACCCTACTGCAACATAGATGTCACCTAGCAAGTAACTCTACATCTAGTAAGCATCCAAACAGCAAGAGGTGACGCAGTATGCAACCAAATTAATAACCTAGGTAAGTAACTTGCTTTCCAGTATTCTCTAGCTATAAAGTATTTTCATCAATATGTGGGACACGAGTAAATATTTACCCCTTGTTATGTGTAATTTCCCAAGCTAATACATTTATCCTGGTATTTCCAAACAATTTGACTATCACTTTATCTTGTGATACACCTCACTTTTTATTGCAAAAATTTTTGATATGTGTATTTCAAGATTCATCTTAAGAAGCTTAAAAAAAAAAAAAGAACAAGTAACAAGAGGAGCATCAAAGAGCAATCATACACAGACTTGGGTTTTTCTAGAGTTCCTACATAATCCATGAGGTAGAAAGTACTAATTGATTAAAGTAGTATAGGTTCAAATTATACTCTGTAAACAATGAAAGAACAGTGAAAGAGAATTATCAAATTAACGAAAAATCAAAATAGACCCACTGTTGTTGAGTTTCACTCACAGTGACCCAAGAGGACGGAGTAGAACTGCCTCTTAAGGTTTCTAAAGCTGTAAACCTTTACAGAAGCAGATGGCCATCTCTCCTTGATGGAGTGGCTGGTAGGTTGGATTCACCACTCCTGTGGTTAGCAGAAGGGTGCTTTTAACCACTACACCAATCCTCTTTATTGAGGATTTCCTGAGTTCTAGGTAGGAAAACCAAATGTATAAGGGTTGGGGAAAAGAAATTGTTTAAGAATTATTTGAGGCCAAGTTTCCTTTCAAATGATTAGCAAAAACAATGCAGTAATATCTGTTTCATTTTCGCAATATTGGTTTTTCCTAATCCAAACTACAAAATTCCCACAGAAATGTCTGCTGAAATTTGCAATCAACATTATAAATAAAGGGGGATTAGTCAGCCATAAAGGAGGATTAGAAGAGTTACAGCACCAATAACTTTAGATAAAGATGATTCAGGTATAAACAAATATATATTTAAATTAAAACCAGGAAAGATCAAATTGGGATAATATAAAAATAACGAAAAGAACATTTTGAAATTAAAATGGTCACGTTATTAAAAATTTAACAAATAGATGAGTAGCATACTACGCACACATGAAAAGATAAAAAGCAAGCTGAAACTGCTGATAGTTAAAGAGATGCAAGGCAAGTTAGGAGAAATGAAGGATGGATATGAAAGTCCAAACTTTGAAATTCCACAAGAAAAGAAAATCTGTGCCTGGTCACAGGGTGGTGAAGCACCAAAGGCAAATGAAAGATGACAAATCAATTTTATATTACCCAAAAAGGAAGGTGGAAAACAACAAATGACAATTTTTAAAAGTCTTAACAGAATTCAATAAATGGAATGAGTGCAAAAACAAAAACTACCCCAAAACCCCACATCTCAGAATCTTTCCATGAACAAATTTTCACTTAAAGTAAGGAAGAATGTGTTCTTCACAAAGAAAGAACATAAATTCAGAAGGAAGATGGGGTATTTAAGAGAGAATGAGGACATTGGTTTTAAATTAAAAGGCAGGCTCGCCTAGGTTTCATATTGTATGAAGGCACAAAAATAGTGACCATAGCTAATACTATTTATTATCAACAAGCTGGGAATAAAAATGAGATAAAATTAATATTTTCTCAAGCTAAAAAAAACACAAACAGATTAAAATCTCAGTAAGAAAGCGTCCAATTTTTTGATTGAAAATCTTGGGTTTGAAAGCCGAACAGGGGAAAATAGATGAAATAAAATAGTTTAGAAAAAAACCACATACACATAGTTAGGTGATTTATTACAAATGTGTTATAATAGAGGGAGAAATATTAATTAAGGAAGCCAGTTCAACAGGGTAGCCATTAGCCATTGAAGGGGTGGTGGTGTCCTTGACCCAACACACATCACATACACACACTTTCAAATAACTAAATAATTACTCTAATGTGAAAGACAAGAGAAGTTGTTAGCACATGTTTTGTGCTAATTAAACATACTAAACATACTTCTAACTATTGACTGTAAGATTAAAAACTTGACAACAATAGAATTAAGAGCTCATGTTCATCAAACGACACCATTAATGAGTGAAAATACAAGCTAGAGAGTACAAGATATTTATATTTTCCATACAGATGATGTAAGAAAAAATTTTATATAAAATATATATGAAGGGGCTTCAAAGTCTGTGGAAAAACCCAATTATAAGATTATAAAATTTTTCCAAAAGATTTTTAAAGTCCTATCATAAAGATCTCTTACCAAGCAACAAGATTAATAATCTACATTTAAAAGGACTATGGAAATGACTGTACAATCCTCTTGAACATGACAGAATGCCAAATATTATTAAAAATGAACACCTGAAATTTTGATATACTACTGCTAAGTGAATTTGTATAACCACTTTGAAAATCTGTTTGGTAATATCTAGTAACAGTGAAAATGCATAACTCATCAACTGTACTTTTAGGTCTATTTCCCAACAGAAATGCATCCATTTTAGCAAAACACACATACAAAAACCTTCCTAGCAGAATTATGTTTTCCTAACTAGTAATTATCAACTCCTTATAATTTTTTGAAAGATGATGTCTAAGTTCTACCTATGTGATAGGCACTAGGAATAGAACTCAGTGGGCTGTAAAAGCCTACAGATACGCATACTTTAACAACACGTCTCATTGGGCCAAAGCTCTCCCTGCTCCTGATACGGTATATTGCTGGCAGTTGTTAACTACAAAGTGACACCTCCTGAGGCTGGCTGCTCCCGCAGCCAACATACTACCCGCTGATGCACACAGAAAGACTCCCAGAGCTGACTGCAAATTCAGAGCCTGTTCTGGGAATGCCCACTCCTCCCTGTCTGAGCACAGCAGAAAGGCTGCTGTAGTCCCAGATAATTCATTTCTACCTACGTTTAAGGCTTCAGGATCTCTATTCTCAAGGGTTAAGTGGGCCCTCCAGGAGTGAGAAAGGGGACCATGAATGGAAGATTACAACCAGTCCTATCTATAGGCTCTGTGGTAGTTAACATAATCGTTTGCCAATTTGAGAGGATTAAAAGTGAAGGGGTAAAGTCTAGCCCAGAGGTGCTCACACTTATTCAGCATGTGAGCTACTTATAAAATGATCAAGTCAAAATGATCTATCAACTACAAAAATGCAAAGCATGTTAATTTTTATTCATTACATTTATTCATAAATGCATCGAGAATTCTTTATATGTACAATGTATGTTTATGTACCTTGCATAACTGCATGAGTCCATATTGCACAACACACCATTAACTATGTACATTTTTTTTTCATTACCTGAGTTTACGCTGATGACTTGCACTGAATGGAATGAGCCAGGGATGCATAGTCCGGACAGTAGCTGCTGACAGCCAGCCTGGAGCACACTTCCAAGTGATCATCAGTCGTGGTGGAACGGGACTTGGACTTAACGATCGTTATGTGGGAAAAGGCTGACTCCATAAACAAGTAGAGTCGAATAATGCAGTCCAGGAGGTAGCACATGTTCTCATGTTTGGGTGCTTTCCCTCAGTGAGTAAGTTCCAGAACTGCGGTGTGTGCTCTGGACTTCAGCTGAATGTTGGCTTATAGTGTCAAAATCTCCCATTCCGTATGAAAGTGATGCGTTTTTGTCTTCTTACTTGGTCCAGTTCCCCCACTCATTTTAATACCCTTTCTTAGGTTTAAGAGAAAAAAACCATGGTCTAAAAATTGGTGATAAATTAGCTTGTCAGTTTTGCTGCACTTAGCGCAGTTGTTTGCACATGCGTTTGACACCTAAGATTGCATCTGATTGGCTGCGCTGTATATCAATTAAGTGACGGCATTGATGATAGGCTTACATCTATTTTTTAAATGCCATGTGATCTACCCACACTACATTTGCAATCAACTAGTAGATCACGATGGACGTATTGAGCACCCCTGGTCTAGCCTGTCAATCAGGTCATGGACAACGAGGCTCATGTGTGGGCATGGCTTTCTCCTGAAGGTTCTGGGAACTTGGGTATTCCTCCTTGGAGGTGAGAGACACTCTCTTCTCTATGCTCGCTACCTGGGAGACACTGCAGCTGACAAGACCCGTGGGGCT